GGATCACTGGGGAGAAAAAGGGACATCTGTAATATTTTGAACAAAAAAATGAATAAATAAATAAAACTTAAATTTTTTTTTTAAAAAGGGAAATGATCTGACAAGATTAAGTGTAAGAGTATCACCTAATCATTCACCTTCTCAACAGTTATCATTGAATTAAAAGAACATTTTAATTGGTCAGCTTGTGGAGTATTTTCTTCAAAAACTGCCCCCAAAATGATCATCTCAATTTAGTGTTTCTCATTAGGGGCACCACTGGCCTTTTGGGCAGGATGATTCTTCTCTCTTCCACACTGCAAGGGGCAGGCCTGGCCCAACACATTAAATGCCATTAGAGCTCCAGTCATCCTGGCAACCCCAACACACTTCCAAATGCCCCATTTTCAAGCAACTGAGATAATGAAATCCTCGGCTTCGAGGAGCCTGGGACAGAACATTAATTTTTGATTCCTTGAACAACTAGCAACATTCATACTTGATAAAGCCCTACTATAGCTAACAGGAAAGGGATTTTCATTTAAAACCATTTAAAGCACAGATGGAACCCTGACAACCTGTGCTCTTCCTAAAGTTGAGGAGAAAATGGAGCTCATACCTCTTTGATGACCTGCTCTGGTTTCTGGACAGATAGCTGCAATCTTTTTTGTAGAAAAAAACATTCTGTTTGTCTTGCAATATCCAGAAATTTCTGGATACACTGATCAACACCTTAAAAAACACACAAAATATTAAATCAAGAAAAATATTGGACACAAATATCTCCCTCCTACATGAACAGTCAGAATATCAAAACATCACATTCTCATACCTGTAATCTGGGATTTTAATCCCCAAACCTTCCACATGTTAACCACATTAAATAGCAGATAATTTGTACTTCTATCAGGTGCATAACAGACCTTACTACAACACACAGTTCTTCTGAAGAAAGACAAGTAGCATGGCTCCAGTTAAAATGTAACTTATTTTAAAAGCAGTACACACTATGGTCTTGTTTGTCCTAATACCACTATGAAAAGTTCATCATTAAGTGGTCCATCGTGAATGACATAAGATGTCAATTAATAAGCTGAACAGAGAACCAGCAGTACACAGGCATGACCTGCATAAATCTTATCCCCCAGAAGAGTTCTCTTAGGATACCAGCAGGGCTGAAACATAGCAAGTGTAAAATCAGCAATCAGGAATCCTGCTAAAGGCAAGAACACTGTCCAAAAAGAGGGAATTCTTACCAGTTCGAATTTCTTCCTGATCCGTGCCATTGACGTAGTCCTGACTCACCAGAGAGGCAAAGCAAGCCTGTTGTGATCAAAACAGATCACAAAAGAAAAATGTCATTTGCACATCAAAAATCTTACTTCAGGGAAAGAAATGAATTCTCTTGAAGTCATTCAATGAGTTGATAGCATCTGGTTTGCACACCAGACAAGCTATCATGCCAGTGAAGAAACTCGGTAAATTGACCCCATTAGGCCCACAGAGGACAAGCCAAATGAGGCAGCTGGGATTTGTCAGCAGCCGATCTGGTCTCTCTCCTGCCACTCGCTCCTTTCCCCACTACCTCATTCCACATCAGGGCCTGGACCCCTATTCCAGTCCTACCCACAGCTCCTCCCTTCCATGCTCCTATGATCTGCGTCACCCATTCAGGACTCAGGTCAACCATCACCTCCTCAGAGAGACCAACTCTCTCTCTTTTGAAATGGTGCCCACCCCTCCTGCTTGAGCTCTAGCCCCAAGCCCAGCTTTGTTGTTTTTCACAGCTGACACCACTCCATGCTTTTAGTGCATTATCAGCTGCCCCCTACTAGGAGGTGGGAAGTTAGCCTTGTTCACTATTCGCCTAGTGTGGGAATATTGCTCCGGGCTCAATAAACACACGCCAGTGACTGACAGGACCACCCACGAGAAGAACAGGTTGGTGTCACAAGGGTAAACAAGTCCCAAAGAGGGAGTTCTCCCTCAAGGGACAATGATCCAGATGTTTATGTGACTCAGCCAGGGGGCTCTACCAACAAAGAAGGCCTGACACAGGGCAGCAGGCCAGGAGAACCGATGGGAGCCAAGGGAGCAGGGGTCGGAAAGGAAGCCTCAAGCCCCAGGAAAGCAGAGTCCTGCCACCATAAGCAAACACGCTTGGTAAGAGGCAAGTAGATCTGGGCCCAAATTTAAGCCACTGGCGAGATGTGAGGGCCCTTCTGCCTGCAGTTGCCACTATTTTATTTTATTTTATTGTTAATCCTCACCTGAGGATATTTTCCTGAGAGAGTGGAAGGAGAGGGAAGAGACAGACAGCGAAACACCGATGTGATAGAGACACATGGACTGGCTGCCTCCCGCAGGCGCCCTGACCGCCCGGGATAGAGCCTGCGGCCGAGGGACCTGCCCTTGGCCCAAACCGAGCCTGCGACCCTTCAGTCTCGGCTGATGCTCTAACCACTGAGCGAAACCGGCTAGGGCACCACCCTCTGATTTACAGAGAAAAACCGCAGGATTCCCCCAGGCAACCCCCTGTAATCGCTGAATACATCAGGAAAAGACTTCCCATTCCGTGTGACACTGAAAGATGACTCCTGTTGGATCTGGGGTACGAGTGGGGTGGCCCTGCTTGGTGAATCCTGTGGCTGTTGGAAAGCACCCCACCCAGTCGCACCTGCCCGTCAAAGCTGGGCTGCTCCCCCAGAGCCGCGGGGCCGCCAGGCAGGGCGGGAGGAAAGCCGGTCTCGGGGGTTTTAGGGGGGATTCTCATACCCCTCAAAAAAGTGTAAACACACAGGCCTCTATAGAGACCTGGAGAGTTGCATGGCGAAGGAAATGTGTGGTGGTCTATTAAAAAAAAAAAAAAGATGCTTTCTAAAAGTCCACTCATTCAGTCCCACGAGTCCCACTGCTTCAGGATCGCTGAGGGCCGCGCCCCGCCGAAAGGCTGCAGGGCGCGGGCGGTGAACCCGCGTCCCGGAGAGGAGGCCGGTACCGAACACGCGGGGACGCGGGAAAGGGGGGACAGAGAACCAGGGGGACGGCATCCGGTGGTGGGGAACCGGGAAAGACCCCAAAGTTAGGACCCGGCAAACGTCAAGCCCACTTGCTACGGGAAACGTCAAGTGTACGCGGCCCCGCCGGTAGACCTGAGTGGAACACTGGCCACGACTCCCGGTGGCAGCTAAAGCGAGTGACACACGTTCTCGGAGCCACTTTGCCCGTTTGAAGGCCGGGGTCCGGCATCCCTGAGGGAGATAACCTGCGCATGCGCAGCTTCCATTGCAGGCCAGAAGAGAGGAGACTGGGAACACGGATCCCCCTTCCGCGTCTCCTTTTACCTCGAAAGATGACTCCAACTCATCCACCAAGGTACTGGGAGAAGATCTCGGAGCTCCTGGCGCGGCCTGAAGGAGCGAAGCCTGACCCGGGAGTCCCGGCGGCGGGGGTGGGGGTCCGGGAGGCTGCCCAGAGAACATACCTCCCAGCGGAGCCGCCATTTCTGAAATGGCTGGAAGAGGCCCACTGCGCCTGCGCACAGCTGGCGTCCCTGGGTCAGGTGACCACCCTGGTCACGTGGCGGTGCGGCGCGCCGGGAGATTCCGTTGGGCGTCCCGGAAACCGGAAGCTTGGCGCTTTGGTCTCCTCCTCTCGCGCGCGCGGGACGCCAGCTTTTCCTTTTATTTCTCTTAAGCAGTGAGGAGGCTGACTGCGTTTGACACAGTTGTGTGGGGGAGAGAACAAACTCGTCGGCCCGAGCCCCCCCGCGGACGCCAGGACGCTGCTGTGCTGGGCGGGCTCTGCCGTGCCGCCCGGAGTGACTTCGGCCGAGAGTCGTTCTTCGGGCGCCGTGTACCCGCGGCAAACGGCTGGAGGTACCGTTCATTCCGCACCCGTGTGCTGTGTACCAGTTATTAATCCAGTCGCCGTGGCTATAACGAGAACAGGCAGGCGACCCTGCCCCGGATTCTGTCCGGGGCGAGGCAGGGAACGGAAACGACTCGCGTGGCGGCCCCTTACCGATGTGCCTGACCCTGTTCCTCTTAGGTCATTCTTCTTACATCAGAGAGGAAGTCGCTGAGCTAATATTTTAATAATTTGCTTTTTTAACACTTGCTTTCAGAAGGTAAAAATATTTGTTATATTTAATTTTACAGTTATATATGTGGTAATGCAGCACATTTATTGAGCCCTCCATGTCCCGTGTACTATTTAATGATACGCGTGCTACAGCGATCCTTCCAAGCCTCTGCCCTCTGCCCTCGTGGAGCTCACTGTTGTTTTTGTCGGAGAGGGAGACACACACGTAACTATATATAGCAATATCATGTAGAGATAGGTGCCCAGACAAAAAATGTTCCCTGGTCGGGGGATGGCTAGTGATGGGTTTGATAGGTGATTGGAAAAGGCCTCTGGAGAGGTGTGCACTGGAGTGACTGGAGAAAAAGCTTAACTAGGAAAGCTTTCTAGACAGAGGACGGGTCCTAGCCTCAATCTTAGACTCGGCTCTCAGCCACTTTACCCTGGTTCATTTTCTTGGCAGCCCTTAAACGTCATCAGCAATGATCTTGTTTAGTTGTTTCCTTCATCACTAAGTTGCCTTACACACACACACACACCCCAACTGGAATGCAAGCTCCATGAGATCAGGGCCTGCCTATCTTCACGTGTATTCCCAACACCCAGAACTGTGCCTGGCATAAAGTAGACATAGTCATTATTTGTTGATTGAATGAACAAAAATAGAATGCCAGGAGGAAACTAGTCTGCTTCAGCAGTTCCCAAACTTTTGGGTCTCAGGATCCTTTTCTTTACATTCCAAAAATGTATTGGGGACTCCCAAGTGTTTTTATTTATGTGGATTATGTCAGCCAATAGTTACCTATTCAAATTGAGAATAGGTAAAATATTTACCTGTTAAAACAGAGGTTTTTTTAATGGTTTTTATTGATTTTAGGGAAGGAGAGAGAGAGAAAAATCAATGAAAGAGGAACATCGATCGACTGCCTCCTGCATGCCCAGTACTGGGGATCGAGCCCGAAACCAGGGGATGTGCCCTGACTGGGAATCGAACCTCTTGGTGCATGGGACCACGCTTAACCGAGCCACACTGGCCAGGCAAAACTAAAAATTAAAATTATTTAAAAACTCACTACATATTAACATAAATATTATTTTAATTAAAAATATAAATATTTTCCAAAACCAGAAATAAATTAGTGAGAAGAGTGGAAGCATTTTACTTCTTTGCAAATCTGGTTAATGTCTGGCTCAAAAGATTGTATCTCATGTCTGCCTAACCGTAAGTTGCCTGAGAGAGTGGTTAGTGGTATCTCTCTTGGATTCACCCAGAATAGAGCACATTTGGATTTTGCTGAAAACACATTTCCTCGTGTAAAAAGTAGGAGAATACTACCTTGGAAAGCTGATGATGTATGTAGGGAGCTGAATACAGTACCAGATTACCAGTGAGAAAAGACAACATGATATATTTTGTTTAAAAATAATCTCCCCAGTACAGAAACAGAAGGTAAGCAAGTGGAGGCAGAACCAATAAGATCTAGGAGTAATCTGGTAATCCATACACAGAGAGATGTGATTTGTACAGTACCGGGGCAGTTGAGGCCAACTGTTTGGGAATGGACTGTGTAATAGAATTTGATTATGACTTACAGTATTTGAACGATTTTTAGCTAACATTTCCCCAGTATCATGATGAAAGGAAGTAGCCCAAAGTTCAAGAGTGGCAGAGCTGCAGCCACAGAATATGGTGGGCAGTAGAGAAAGGGCCCCAAGGAAATGGCCAGGCCAATACCATTTAACTGACATACCGAGTGACAGGGTATGCTTCCAGAATTATTCTTCCTTCAACCAGACTGATTTTCCTAAGGGCAGGGGCTACATCTTGTCTACTTTCCCATCTTGTACAACCATCTTCTACAATGCCTAGCATAGGTTAAGCACGGAGTAAAATGTTTGCTGGACCAAATTCTTCAAAACAGCAGCAGTACCTCCTCTTTCTGTGACCCTGAGGGCATTTTTGGATTTATTCTACCGTAACTTAAAACCTTTTAACCGCCAAGATTTCACCCAGTTCATTTTCCATCCAATACTGACACTCCTGTGCTGTGAGCAGACAGTAATAGAGATATGGTCTGCCCTTACTGCACTTACAGTACGCACTATCCCTTTATAGTGAGGGCTTAGATACTGCACTATGTTCAGTAATGGATTCTTGTGCTCAAGGCCGTGTGCTGGGTTGCAGATGCTGGGCCTTGCAGATCCACTAATCTGGGTTCTAACCTTTTTTTCTACTTTCTAGTTCACAAACATTAGCAGTTTACTTTGAGATTTCTTTCCTCATCTCTGCAGTCACAGAGACTGTCAATTGCCAATCTTATTCCCTTTTTCTCCTCTTTTATCAGCTAATCTTCACCTCCCAAATCCCTGGGAGTAATATGCCTCACTCTGATTGATGATATCAGCACATTATGTGGGACTTCAGTGAAAGCTCCCTTTCCTCATCATGTAGCCTTCAACCCCAGCAGCCACCTGGACTGAGGGAGCCTGAGGCCACGGTGGTGACGCACATTTGTGAGCCCCTGGGGCTGCTTGACCTTTGGATTCCCTTCTTCAGCCACCTTTTAACACTGTTGTTCTAAACCACTGGTAGTTTGAATTTGCTGCTCTCCACAGCCATGCTTAGTGCTCACTAAAACCAATTCACATACCACTGCTTCAGATTGTGGCTCTGCAGATCAGCCAAGAATCTGTGAAGTACCTGGCAGGAGATGCCTGGGCATTGCCCAGATTAGATAAGCACATGGATCAAGGGCTTGCCAAGCCTTTTGTGTCTCACACTCTAGTAAACACAGGAGTTCTATTGTTCTTTGATTTATAAAAGGGCTTTGATAGAAAGCCTTCATCATATCCCTACTTGACCTTCTGAATCACTCAGAAGGAATCTTAAATAATTTTCATTCCCTTCACAAGCTGGTAGTTCCACCTCCCAGTTTCCCCTTTTCTGGACATGGATGCCTGGAGAAACGCATTTACTCACTATTCCTGCCTGATTTTAATTCTAACACCACAAGTACGCACGGCCATTTCCCTTCCCCCTTTATAAACCAGTTTAGACACTTAACAGTATCTTTTTTTTTTTTTTTAACAGTATCTTCTTAAATGTCAGGTTTTAAAAATATAAAAAATAACTCCATAACGAGCTTTTCCTGTCAAACTTCTCTAAGTCTTCTTTAAAAAGGCACACATCCTATTCATAGGTAATTTGATTAACCCCATCCTGTCTTCGAAATCTGCACAAATGGAATGCTGTTGATTGGTTGTAGTCCCAGGTGGTAAGCAAATAGCTTACCTATTGTCAGCCCCCTTTATGGTCTTCTTATTTCAGTATTTCAGATAAATTCCACATTCAAGTCACTGAACTAAAAGAAAGCAGCGCAGTGTAACAAGAATGCCAGCTCTGGAGGCAGGCTGCCTGGTTAAATCTCTGCTTTCCCATTTGCTAGCTGTGACATCATTGGCATGTTACCCTCCCTGTGCCTCATTTTCCTCATCTGTTATATGGGGATGATAGTACCCACATCACAAATTGTAAGCTCATCAAGTGCCCCAAAGTGATCACTAACATTGAGGTAATAGCTGTATCACTGTGCCTCAACTTACTTCCCGTAACAGGGCCACAAGAGATTGGTTGTGTTACAGTAGTCACTGGGTTTACAGTAATAAGGAAATACCAGAGCCACACCAGGGAGCACAAAAAGCTGGATTTATTGTTTCTGACCATGTCACAGTAACTTTTAGTTTGTTCATGTTCCTGGCATCACAAATCTGAATACAGTTTTGCTCCTCAAAAATATATACTCTGAAAAATGATTAGGTAGTTTTTTAAAAATTCAATCATCATATATAGGATATATTAAAAATCTTTGCCAACCAAGACACTAACTTTACATTTTCAAATCTCTTCATAAATCAAGGCATACAAATTTCATTCTGTTCTACATTTTTAAACACCATCCTTTGTTTCCTTTATAAAATTTTCATTCATTCCAAAATATTTTGAAGCTCAACTGCTCATTTAAGACAGAAGGCAGGAATTTTAGAGTGAACTAAGAACTGTCGTGACTGAACCGAATCAAGAACTCTATCAGGGTCCTCGTGGGCCTCCCGGTCATGCCTTTACGCAGATATGAAATCTCATCTTTGTTGGTCATCACACCTGCTATGTCTAAATGTGCCCACTTCGGATGATTCACAAATTCTTTCAGGAAAGCTGCAGCTGTGCATGCTCCTGCGGATCTAAAAAGACAGAAATGATTGGTTTACCCCATGTACATGTGTATGGAACATTTTATTGAGATCCACCATTCTTGCTAAGTAGATTCCATGACCAGAGAGCAAATGTCAAGCTTATGAGACCTATTAAGACGTTAACCCAGAAATCACTTTCAGATATTTATCTTCAGACATGGCTTTAATTTTTTTTTTTAATTCTCACCAGAGGGAGGATATGTTTGTTGATTTTAGAGAGAGCGAGGGAGAAGGGGGGAGAGAAACATTGATTAGTTGCCTCTCGCATGCGCCCCAACCAGGGACCAAACCCTCAACCTAGGTATGTGCCCTGACTGGGAATCAGACCCACTACCTTTCGGTGCATGGGACAAGGCTTCAACAGACAGAGCCACCCAACCAGGGCTTCAGACATAGCTTTAAGCAGTAAAAGATAAATTCCAGATTCTCTTTTTCCCAAGGTAATGAATTCCTATATTATCCATCTCTTTCCCTTACCATTTGTCTAAAATGACCTTTAGATTTGAAAATATGCAAAATTCTGAGAACCAGTTAGGAAAATACCTTAAAAACTAAAGACACTAGAAATTGTGTTTATAAGCACTACATGAAAAGAAAATTGGATAGTTAAACCTTTTACGAATGGGCTAAAATTGAAAATGGTCATTCTGGCAACCAGTGATGCTTCTGAAAATGCACTTTTGTAGCTCATTTTACATACCTGTATTTTCCAATGTTATTAATGTCAGCAAGCTGGCAGTCTACAACCTGTCTTGTATAATGTTCAAAGAGAGGCATCCTCCAGACACGGTCCCCTGTTTCAACACTGGCCTAAAGAGGAAGCAGGCACAACAGTTGGAAGACTGAATGAAGTAAGGTTTGGGGTAAATTCACAGCACTGAATGTGAAGTGTTCAGTGCAGGAAGGAAAGGGCTGTTCTGACCTGTTACTCTAAAACATCAAGCTACATAGCAAGTTCCAGAATCATTTTTTATTAATTAAAACATTTACTTAAGAATTACAAAAGAAACCACGTGTTTTATAAAACAATCCCACAGGTTTGTAGGGGCATTTGCTAAAATCAAAATTATAATATTACGTGTCTCAGTTTAAATTATTAAGCTGGTATCCTATCGTATGTACAAGCTGTGCAACAGTGATGCTTGTCACCTTGGTGGACTGGGGAAACACATGCCTGGAACTGTACCACTGAGGCCCAGATTCCAAGACAAGGTGACCTCATTCATTCATGTAATCATTTAGACACATTCATTCCACATTTACTGAATGAACTTCTACTGAGCACCACCAAGTGTTAGAGAAATAAAGAACTTAGTATCTGAGCCCTGGCTGGTGTGGCTCAGTTGGCTGGGTGTCATCCTGTGCACCAAAAGAACTTAATACCTGAGCCATCAAAGGGACCAGTGTTTTAATACACTGTGGTGAAAGATGAGAGTGAAAAGTAAGTCAGGAAGCAGCAATATAAACTGAGTAAATATAAGATAAATTGCACGTATCACTTTGACTCTTTCTCAAAGCAGCTTAAATCCAAACCTGACAACAATGTGGGTGCTAAGATAGAGACACTGGGTGCATGGGAGGCTAGAGGAGAGGCCCATGGCCCAACCTAGAAGGAGACAACTGAGCTGATATCACGGGGGTGGAGGGGTGAGGCGGGGAGGTCTTCACAAACTATGAGATGATGAAGATGAAGAGGAAGCGGTTAAAGGTGAAGAAAGTTTAGGACCTTAAACCAACAGCAAGAATGTATTCAGGACATTTTGTATTTGCTCCCATTGGCACACAGTCGACTCCCATTAGTTACTATCTCATAACCAAGTGGTGGATGCACAGAGTCTGGAGCTCAGGAGAGACGGGACTAATCATCGGAGGGGCTAGCTGAAGCCACAGAACAGATGAGCTTCGGGTGCGGACCGTGAACAGTAAGAAGGGTGCGTGTCCCAGGACTGAACACCCACCAAAGGGGCAGACAAAGGAAAAAACTGGCAAAGGAGGCTGAGGAAGAAGTCAGTGAAGAAGGGGAATGAGAGGAGATTATCACAGAAGCAAAGATGGGGTGTCACCAAAAGGTCACCGAGGTACATGCTGTCTCTAGACAGCATAAGAGGCTCACAGTGGGGCTGGAGGGGAAAGCTGATAGCAGTGAACTTAAGCACGGGGCTGGGACAGGGTGGTGGTGACAGGAGACTGATGTTTGAAGAGGCTGGCTGTCATGGCACAGGAGGCAGAGCACAGCAATCGAAAGGCACCCTTATCACCTCCGACTAATGGGCCAGGGCAAGCCCTCTTTACACACACGCCTACTTTGCTCATGACACGCATTCATTAAAGGCCACTCCTTCCTTCACGAAGCTGCCCTCATCACCTTTTCTACCTCAGAGACTCTACAGTATGGCCATGGTACATGGGAGTCATTTTACATCACCGTGAGCTACTGGAGCAGGAAGAAGGTGGGATCATACCTGTAATTTTGAGACAGAAAACCCAAAGCATGATAGATCAAGGTTATTGCATTTTCAATTCAAAGGCAGATCTACAGCATAAAAATCACTTTAACTGGGGCTGAAGAAGTGGATCATTCTGAGGCTAGAATAATCATCCCCACAATTCAGGTCTGTGTGTGACTCCTACCTCAAATAGTTTGTTCCACAGCCAGGATGAATTGGTAAAGACCCCAGTGGCACCAGAGCCCAAAGCTATGTCCATGGCACCTGCAAGACACACCCTCAGGTCAGTGTTCCGTCTCTTCATGCACAATGCGTTTTTCTGTTACTCGAACCAAAACTATAGCCTTTAAATATCTCCCTCGTTTTCAAATATAAATAAGCTTAGGAAATCCTTACTGTATGTACCTTTCCAGTTTCTCAAGCTAGAATTCACCTGCAGTTGTTAGGGAAAATGCAAAAAAGATAATATTAAATATCACCAATAATCTCACCCCAGGGATAACCACATTTTAATATTTCCAGATTTTTTCTAAACTTAACACACACCATAATTAAGACCATACTGTATATGTCCAAGTATGTGTTCTTCCTTTTATGCTTTAAACATTCANAAAACACACACCATAATTAAGACCGTACTGTATATGTCCAAGTATGTGTTCTTCCTTTTATGCTTTAAACATTCATTCCTTTTTTATAAACAAATGTTTGAAAGTAGTTTTAATGATAAAAGTCCACTGGTATGCATACACGCACAACCCAAGGACACGGACAATGGTGGGGAGAGGGACTGGGGAAGGGGATGGGACAGGGTGAAATGGGGGTCATTGGGGAGAAAAAGGGACATCTGTAATATTTCAAACAACAAAAATAAGATGTGCATGTGTCAACAAGGGAAATAATAAAGGTGCTTAAAAAAAAATCCCATTGAGTAGAAATATCACAATTTACTATTGGATATTTAGGCATCTCTAATTTTTCAATATTTTAAATCACATCTCAGTAAGTATCTGCTACGAGTTTGATGCCTGTTTTTAAAAAGTCTGTTATCATATTTGTGTCATCTTTGTTTCCTTCTCCAACAAAGCTGTGTCCCATTAGCTGATTTCAGAAGTAAAGTTGATCATTTCATGATGTGAATTTGGTTAATGTCATTGGCCACACACAGCACCACAGTGCTTAACCTGACTCTACAGGGACGGAAGCAGGCCTTCTTCAGTCAGATACCCCTATGCCTTTATGATGCTGGATTATACACTTGTTCCAAGAAATCACAAGTAAATTACATTAATAATTGGTTCATAGTAAGAAATCACAAACAGTTAATTTAAAACAAATCACTATTTTGATGTGGTGACCCTATGCAAAAACCTGAGATTCTGCATGACATTTGGGCAACTTGGGTCTGTTGGGCCCTTTGTTCCTTCAGGTTTTGTTACTCTTTACCTCCCAATTATCTCTCAGACCTACATACACTTCCTTCCACCGCGACTGCTACCATCATCGACCACTAGATTATGGTAGTAGTCTTCTAAAAAACACTTACTGTGGAAAACGTCAAGTACACTCAAAGCAAAGAGAATACCATAGTGAACACACAGGTACCCATGAGCCAGCATCAACAATGATCACCTCACGGGCAGACCTGTTTCATCTACACTCCACACCCGATTATTTTGAAGCCAATCGCAGATACTGTAATAGTCACCCTTAACACACACACACGTCCACAAAAGTCAACAACTTCACACCATTCACCAGCCTAACTGGCCTGCCAGTGTCTCCTCTGGCCCTTCTACAGTCCATTCTGCACACTGGCGGGAGGGTCCCTGTCACAGCACAAAAATGACCTTACTGTCTCCATGCTTAACCCTTCAGAACTTCCTGCTGCACTGGCTCAGGACGAAACGCTGCAATACACCAAGGCCAGCCGGGGTCTGGCACTCCAGCACGTCGGCCTCATGGGTCCCCACACCCCCAGCCACAGTGCTCTTCTCAGTCCCACTCACGGCTGCCTGCTTTTGCCCCACACACGTGTGCCCTTGGCTGCTGGGATGTTCTTCCCTCCCTCCACGCAGGGATGCCACCTCCGGCAGATCCCAGCGCTTCTCAGACGAGGCGCCCAAGCTCCCTGCCCATCGGACCCGCAGCTGCACAGGCCCCCACACTCCTTTTAACTGTGCGGCTTATGCTGGTCTCCTGCAGCTTCAGACCCATCAGTGAGAGGATCTGCTGACCAGACGCCTCACATCTGTTCGGACCCCCTCTAAACCCAGCCACTAATAGAGCTGAATACATGCTGTGTTGATGACCACTCATTTGGCACCCACTGTATACCAGATACTATGACAGGGCTGGCTATTCCCTGCCTGTAGTCCATCTATACGACTGGAGGTGGGGGTGGGGAGCACATCAAGTTATATGTACACACTCCTCAATGCTTTACTTTTGAAGTCAGTGGGTTTTCCATACTTACTCATTTATCCTCAAAACATTCCTATCCACCCCAAAAGTCCTGCATCAGTGTATAACTGTCTCAGAGAAAAGATGAGCGCTAACCACAAATAAGAACGTGTATGCTTCCTCAAAGGAACAGAAAATGACACACTTCCCTCAGGCTGGAAAAAAAGGGGGACTGATTCCTCATCTACAGAGGGGTGTACTGCTACCCACCCCACCACTGTCCCCAAACACCTGCCCCAGGACCTCCATCACTCAGCTTGAAGTGCTGGCTGAACTGAACAGGGAGACAAAGGACCGTGAAAATGCTGTGATACAATTGCAGCTTAAAGGACTCAGCAGCACGTTGGAGGACCACTGCCCGACCCACACCAACGGGGCACAGGGAGTGCCCTGCTAAAGCGCAGGCTCACATGACCAGGGGGAGAATGAAGAACAAAGGAAAAATGACCTGAATTTTAATCTTAAAAGAGGCACAGACAGAATGACTCCCCAGAAAGAACTGCTGGAAGATCACGAACATGGGATTTCTGAAATACGGCAACGCCCGCGGTCAGTCCCCTGGGAACTTACCCATTACGCTACAGAGCAGGTGGTGGTGGGCCTGCCTTCACCCCGTGCCCACCGCATGCAGGCCAAAGCACCCTCCCACCTTCACAACTCTGCAAACAGACTTGCCCCCAGGTATTGATGCTCAAGGGGGTCAAGCACCTTGCCCAAGGCTGATGGACTAGTAAGCAGCACAGCTGGGGGTCACCCCTGGGCTGGCCTTAAAGCCAACATGCTTCACAACACATTACGATGCCCTGCCTCAGTTAATGAGGATCTTACACGCCCCCGCTGGTACAAAATGTTCAGAAAACTCTGGGCATCAGATACATCGTGATTAATTTTTAAAAACTTGATTTTGGGATTTATCACTAATCTTTTCATATATGTAGCAAATGGTCCTAACAAAACGTCTCTTAGTATCGTTTTTGGACGTCATTCTGGAAGGGCCGATCTGACCTACTTGTTATTTCTTGTTTTAAAGCTATAGCTTGGCATGTTCTAAAACAACGAACTTTTTTTCAAAGCAGTTTACAACTGCTGCACAATTGCTCTGGTGAAAGATCTCTGAATGCAAAGAAACAAGCCAAACTTCAGTAAACACTGCCCTGAGTGCATGTGTGCTATATGCCAACACATGGGACTCTCCTCACACAGGCAGGAAGAGCCCGCTGTCTGACCTGTTAGGGTGGCAGCATTGATGATGACCTTTGGGTTAAAGGTATGTGCATAACAGAGTGCGTCAGCCAGGATGAGTCTCCCCTCGGCATCGGTGTTATCCACCTGCAAAGAAAAGCGTGAAACAATAATGAATATCAAAATTAGACACATCAATGATCAATTCAGAAGTGAGAAAAAGCTGGTGCGATGTTTGTCACTGAGCATCAAAAACATGCGTCAACTTCAGTTAGAATAGGAATATAATTAATCTGAAAAGCAAATATTTAATAACCCCTGTACCAGAGCTGATGACTCTGGAAGTTGAAATCAAGAGATAGCATCTGATGTCATTTTACCAACAAGTTTCTAACAGAAGGGGGAAAACTTCAAGATTTCTGCAAGCTGAAGAATGGCAGTCTGGACCTCCAAACCCAAGAACTCTGCTGCTTCAGCAACTATATATATATTTTAGGTTCCCTTCTTTCAAAGAGGCCGGACTGTTATGGGCAGTATGTGCACACGTCCCAGCAGAGGACCCGCTGCCACATCCCCAGGAATGCAGCGCCCGTGACTGGGGACAGTGTTCTCCCAACACACCTACATGGAGAGAGTTGATCCTGGCACAGGTACACTCAGAAAACAGCCAACTTTCAGTGCTTTGCCACACTCTGTGGGGCTAGCTGCAGATCATGGGAATTTGTGTGCAGAGCACACAGAATGTAGGAGGAACAATAAGAGAGGAAAAACACTCTTAAAATTCCCACATAGCAGTACTTTTGACTTTGCATGAAAACCACTTGAAATAAAGACACCGCCCTCCCCTACACAACACTCTGAAAATTCCCATAGAGAAGTACGTTTGACTTTGCATGAAAAGCCAGTTGAAATAAAGACACTGCCCTCCACTACACGGAGCCTGCCCCCTGCACCCATTCAAGGTGTGTCTGTGGCTGAGGGGGATTCCTTCACTATCGCAGAATGGGGAAGGCCATCTTCCATTTACAAACCTGTATGGTCTTCCCGTTCTTGGCTCTAATGACATCCCCAGGCTTGTTGGCCTTACCGCTGGGCATATTTTCACAAAGAGGGGCCAAACCTATTGGGAAAAAAATAAATGAAGGAACATGGCATGTGCTGGGTCCACATATGCCACCCATAGGAGAGATGCCACTGGTGGGCCATCGGAAGTGTACTAGACAGACATCACCTTAACCAAGTGATCAAATTTAGCATTGCTCATGACCCAACTGACATTACATGCATCAGCAACAGAAGAACATGTCACCTAACCTGATTCTATCATGAAACAACCAAATAAATCCAAATCCTGGAACATCACTACACAAGCCTGGACCCTTCAAAACCTCCAATGTCATGAAAGGGGGGAAAGGCAGGAATAGGGCTCTAGATTAAAGAAAACTAAGGAGGCACGGCAGCCACATGCAATGTAGGATCCTTCATTGGCTCCTAGGTTTAAAAAAATAAATAGAAATAAATAGATGTGTGTAAACACACACACACTCAACATTTTTTAGACAGCCGGGAAGTCTGGAATTAGGTTACCATATCAATCCTTGTAAATGAAATGATATTGTCGTTACACAGAATGTCTTGTTCTTAAGAAACACAGGTGACATGTCATGATGTCTGCTACTTAGGAGTTCAGGGGCGAAGAAAAAGACTATGATATTTTAAAAAAGGACTATGGGGGTGGGGGATGTCAGAGAGACCTGGATTCCAATTCTAACTTTCCGTGCTATGGATGAGACACACTGGGCATGTCTCCCCTCCTCCCTACCCCAACTCTGAAACATGGCAGACTCCCAGCATTGTGTCTGGCATCCTGTATCACACAAAGAGCTGCTGTGTACAGAGCACTCTTTCAGTTTCAAGCATTTACTGTGCGTCATGACATTTAATTGGCCACAACCCTATGGTGCAATCACTAAATGATCCCACAGTGTCCTTCCACTCTGACAACTGGGTATTTTCCACCGGAGGAAACCACAAACTCCACTTTATGTGTCCCCGACTGCTAACCACTTTTTGCAGAAGTAAAACAAATCAGTTCTAGTTAGAGCCCATGATTGCAAAATGCATTTAACTCAATCAGTTCGGGCAAGACTTATCCCAACTAAACAGCTTCTACTTGATGAAAAGCTACTTCAAAACCTTGATCTGTTCAGCCTAGAGGAAACCATGTATGTTATCTTAGTTCTACCATCTGTCTGGATTCCAGAAGCTCTCCACAACACACTCCCTCGCCCACTCACCAATGACGTTAATGGGCAGACCAAGCTTGGCGGCAAATACAATGGCTGAGCATATAGTGGCAGCTCCTCCCATGTCAGCCCTCATGAGGTCCATATTTGCAGAAGGCTTGATGGAGATGCCACCACTATGGGGGGAAAGGACAACATGCAATATTAATACAAAGGAGGGCCACTGTCTCAAATAAGAATACATATCCTGAGGGCTAACTACCACATAAAAGCACCGTCTACCTGGCAAAGAAAATCTGAATTTTTAAATTGAGAATCTGAATGATTTCAACATGTTAAAAGCTGATATTGCAGCGTTTATAAAACTATAGATGGGTGTCTTAGCTCATTTTGTTTCTATTTGAATGAAATTTAAGCAGTGCCCCCAGAAACACTATTACATCATGCAATCAACCCTGCTCAAGTTCCATCCCTTTATTTCCTCACTAACTCCTGGACCCACAAAGATGTGTATCTTCAGCAAATTTTATGACTCAATCAACTTACCGAACCTGAACAGAGGTCTCTTTCCTTACAAACTATTAAGGAAAGCTGACAAGCTCACAGAAGATGGAGGATCTTACCCCACAGAAGGACTGGAAAACAATTCCCCCCAAATCCCCAAGGTGCACCAGATCCTGCTGATCGCCAAATACAACCTGAACCAGGCACTGGCACAAGGAAGGCGCTGACCAAAGCCTCGGAAACAGCACCCAAACATGAGAGCTGACCCGGGTTTCAATTAACAAGAAACCCAATCCACTCCCCCAAACAGCTTTCCATAACTAGTGACCTTCTGCTTTTGGGTGTAAGAATCCAGAAAGCACTTGCTCTGCTTGCCAGGCATGAAGTCGGGGCTTCAACTCTGAGTTCTGGGATCTGCTGCCGACTTGCCCTGGTGACTTTGGAGAGTCTGTTCCCTGCACAGAGGTCTCTTTCCTTACAAATCAGATCCTAATTCCTACTCACCTCAGAAGCACTAGATAGATGGCTGTCACTGAGACCTAGAATTAAAGATTATCTACTGACTCAGAATAAGAAAAGAAACCCTCTTGGTCCAGGAAGTCCAGGAATAACGCCATGGGGGCAAAGGCAGTATGCTAGCTCATCAGGTGACCTACCTACTTACCACTTCTAGCTCAAGGCCACTTTTGTTCTGGGAGTTCCACTCTATCTCTAGGACTTTCATTCTAAAGTAACCAAAGATCAGCAGTTATCTTTGTTCACCTTCTAGATCTCTCTCAAATGCATCCATTCCTTTTCTACTGCATCCATCCTATTGGAGGCTACTACCATCTGTCCTTCAGATGTTTGCGTGGCCATACGTACTCAGGTCTCCCTATATCAGTCTTACCCCCTCATTTCATTACCCACACAACCACCAAATTTTTACCCCAAAAAAGTCTATCTCAATCAAAATCCCAGCAGATGTGTATAAAAATGGCAGATTCTAAAACTAAGAGGCAAATAAATGCAAAGGACACAGCCAAAGTAATTTTGAAAAAGAGCCAAGCGGGAGGACTCAGTTACTAGACTTCAGGGCAAGACAGTAGTAATCAAGATACCTGGCAACAAGATCCTGGTGGAAGGACACAGAGCAGCGATAAGTCAACAAATATATGGTCAACTGACTCAACAATGGTGCCAACTCAGTTCAATGTGGAAAGGATAGTCTTTCCAACAAACAGTGTTAAAACATGGATATACATATAGAAAGAAAAAAGGGGGGAAAAGAACCTCAATGCATTCACACCACACACAAAAATTCAAAATAGATCATAGCCTAAAAGCTAAAACCATAAGACTTACAGAAAAACAAAACAAAACAAAAAAACACAGACTTTGGCAAAGGCAATTGTTTCTTAAACAGGGCAAAAGCAGCATGAACTATAAAACTGAAAATGGATAAATTACACTTCATCAAAATTAAAAACTGCTCTTTGAAAGATGCCACTTAGAAAATGAAAAGGCATGCCTCACAGTGGCAAAACTGTATTTTCAACATGTATATCTGATAAAGGACTTGCATCTGGAATACAATTTTAAAAACCTATAACTCAGTAAGACAAACGTTTCTAAGAAAAGCAAAAGATTTGAACAGACACTTCACTAACGATGTACCAATGGCTAATAAGCACATTTTTTATCTGTAGAAGGTACACAGCGCCTATCTCCTAAGGGTAAGATCAGGACTAATAGATGTGAAATGCCTCAAAGTCTCCAACACACAGTGAATATTTTATAAATGGCAGTTTAACACATTTAAAGTTAACATATAAGAGATGACTAAACACCATGCTTTTGAAGCAAACCCTACACCAAATAATACAAGTGTATGCAAAGCAGTCACCAAAACACAAAGCAGAGGTACAGTAAAGACCTACCTATCGAAGGTAATTCCCTTCCCAACAAACACCACAGGTGCGTCACTTGCATTGGGGCTGCCTCTGTAGTGAATTTCCAGAAAGACTGGTGGCTCATCTGATCCTTTGGCTACACTTAGGAATGATCCCATTTCCTGTTCCTCAATCCAAGACTTGGGTCTACAGGGCAGAAAGGGAAAAAAAGTAAATATATTTTATTATCTCTATTTCAAAATAACTCAGAAAAAACTCATCCATGTGTAAAAAAGTCTAACTATTAGTTCTTAAAATAAGCACATGTCAATGCTTAATTAACACATCCTATTTGGCGCAGTCATTTGTTTCTGAGTCTATTTCCTCATCTATAAAATCAGGTCAGTCGTACCTCCATCAAGATTAGCTGCAGAATTACTAAAAGAGTTCATGCCTGACACATAACACAACGTCAGGTAATAATGCATAGTAGATTGTTACTTGATTTTTCCCCCCTAGCCTACTCACATATTTTTAAAGTTTTAGTGTAAAGATAAGGCTCTGAGACCATAAAGGGTGCTTAAAGATAGTTAAGGGGCCCATTGCTTTACTTTTGGGCCTCCTAAAAAAAGACAAACACAATCAAGCAATCAACCAACAAGAAAAAAAAACAGCAAAACTACACTTTACTATTTCCTTGTTTATTTAGAATTGCTGGAATCCAGTCTTTTCTGTGTTGTCACTATTTCTCAGTTTCAATCCCGGTTTGAGAAGTCTGGTTGAGTGGGGAAACTAATTACTTCACAAACACAGGACCAACGGTAATACGACGGGAATGGTCCTACGTGCCAACCAGCCAGCCAGAGGCCACATTGCTATGCTTCTGGGCTGGGGGCACAAAGGGCTTTGTGTTGCCTTCTGACCACTGTAACGAGGCCGAGAGAAATCCTACACTTCTACAGGCAGACCAGCAACAACCGTAGCCAAGGAACGCTCCTCTTGACTTGCCTATCCACTTGCTGAACCTATGAAACTAGGGCTGCATTGTGAAGAGATGGCCACCAAACTTCAGAAGGAAAAAAACATTAAAATGGAAGGTATGGCAATAAAAAAAGCACTTCAAAAGGAGCAAGGCTGTCTCATGGGGGATTTTTAATCACTAACTCACTCTAGGTGTTTTATTCAAGTCCTGCCCCTCTGGAAGCACTGCGCGCTTCTTTGATTTAGACACACTACACTCGGTGGGTCTGGCGCAGCTGTCTCAGTTTAATGGGTCACGCCAAGCCCATGGGTCACCTGACCCTCCCTGCTTCTGGCTGACTTCCTTTTGCTCCGCCACAAGCCTTGCAGTTTCCCACAGGGTCTCCGCACACTGGCTCCTCCCGGCTAACTTCCTATGAGCCTAAGACACAATCCTGAATTACCTGATGTGGACTTCCGTCTTACTACTAGCACTTTTGAGATTCTTCTCAATAATTTCGGCAAATGTGCTTGGCGTCATCTCGTTGGCAGGAGTCTCCATCAACTGGCGTGCCAGGTTCTGCGCAGAAGCAAAGAGGACCCCTTTCTGCCAGGCCTCCTGGTCACCGCTGGCAGAGGGAAGCACAGGGTCACTGTCAGAACTGCTGGAGACTGTCAGACTGACCATGTCATAGCTTGTGCAATCAAGAGGAAGACTACACAGCTGGTGGACATGTGGGAACTGGGGTCACTGCTGGGTCTGACCCAGGGTGGCCGACAGTGCAGCACAAACAGCTAGAAAACATAGCTGCACTGTGTGACCTGGGAGACCCAGTGATCGTGTCACCTCAGAATCCTCGTGTGTATGAAAAGGGGTTGGACTAATGGGTCTTTGAGCCCTAAATCTACCACAGTTGACAGAGGCATCCACAGAAAGGCACACTGTGCCCTCCTCTGCATCAGGAGTCATGCTTCCCCAAGTGCTAACTGTAGAGGGCAGAGGGTGTCCTGCTCGATGCTGATGGAGAATTGAAGGCCTTTCACCTAACTTTTGCCTGGGACAGGGCTCTCTCCGCCAAGCCACCAGAGGGCAAGAATCAGCTCCAACAGAGAAAAGATGTGGCCATGTTTTGATCCTAGCTCCTCTTGCACACAGTAGGAATTAGTATGAGCAGTGTGGAGACAGAAGGAACAGGAGCTCATGGTTTGGGGGATTACCACTTGCACTTATGCCTTTCGATCACCCTGAGCCCTATGGAATCGGAATTACAATGCCACTAAACAAAAGAAAATGGAGCAATGAGAGATCTCAGTCACTTAACTGAGGTACCAGCCAGTGAGTGTCCGGAAAGCCAAGATTCAAAGCCAGGCTGATGGGCCACACAACCCTCATTCGCAACCATGACATCACAGCTGCCAACCACCAGACTATGCCGAGACCCCCATTGTTCTCACAGCATCATCTCCTGAAGGGTTCACACTGTCTGGTCCTGACATCAGGGACCTTGTCTCCCAGAACCCAGAACAGAGCTGGAATGTAGTAGGTGCTCAATAAATCTGCTGAAAGAGTTTTTCCACGAGACCATGAGGGCAAGGACCGCTTCCCTTCATCTGTGAAGCTCTGGCATTTAGCACAGTGCTAGCAGATGCTGATGAAATGGGAACTATCTGGGTTGAAACCCGCTGGGACCTGGCATCTTGTTCCCTCCCTCTTCAGGGAGCCACCTTGGTGTGGCTTCCTAGTAACCAGCAAGCATGGAAGGGCCTAGGGAGCCACGGGGAGACACGCACATGATGAAAGCCAGGAGCAGAATGTGGGGTCAGGTACCATCCTCTTAAAAAGGCTAAAGGGACGGCAGAGGTCCCAGACAGGCCATGCAGCAGTGCCCGATACTAAAAGGCAGGCGACTCATGTCCAAGAGGCCCCGCTGTCAGGACACCAGGGAATGCAGCCCTGACCTTGGTTCCGTTCCCTCACCTCCCATGGAGCTTCGCCGACACCACTGCCTTCTTCTTCTGCTTCAGGTTATCGTACTCATAGAGACCAAGCACCGCTCCCTCCGCAGCCGCCTGCGCGTCACCACAGGGATCCACCTCCACGGAAGGGATCTCCAGGTCCTGAACCTGCCTGCACCCCGCTTCGAAAGGACAGAGGAACCAGAAAATCAGAGTCAGTCAGAGACAACTTGAACAGCAGAGGCATGGTGAGGTGTGCTGAGAAAACAGCAGGACTGAGGCTCGAATCCAACGCTGATATTTGACAGTTCTGAGCCCCCATTTCCTCTTAGGTAAAATGAGGGTGTGCACACACCTCACAGGTCAGGGAGGACCGACTGACAGATCGCATGACTGGTCTGGCTCCTCATAGAGTGATGAGGACTACTAACTAGTATTACTTCTGATACGCTAGGGTTTACTGATGAGGCGTCCCAATTACCGGGAGCTTGCCAGATTAACAATGACAAAGATGTGAACTGGAAATCACACCCAAGGAACTGAGCAAAGTCCATTATTAACACAGCACTTTATTAATATCAGGTCAGCAAAAACTCCCCCATCAAAGTTATGAAATAATCAGTCACCATGAACTTTGAAAGTTAATCGAATAAGCATATATGATACACCCAGGGCCAAAGATCAATGAAGCTAATTCTCCCCACCCTGGCAATGCTGTCCACAGCATCCTAACCAGTCTCTGTGTGGGGGCCTCATCCTGCCACTCAGCTCCAAAGGGACTCGATGGCACCCTCAACTTTTAAACTAGCCACACGATAAACTGGGACCTGTGGTAACTAGTGATAAGTACCCCACCCTTTGCATCCATTTTCTCTGATTTGTAAATATGACACTTCATGTGGCTTAAAAGTTGGGCAGCACCAGGGTCGCATTACAAAAAGGAAAAAATCCACACACCAGAACTTTCTGCTAAAATCAAGCCTCTGAGGTCAATACTGTGAGAGTGAAAAAATGGCCGTGAGACCTCCAAACACAAGCTAAAGAAATAGAAAAATAAAATTCCGCAAGCTAACCATTTGTATCTAACATAAGACCAAACATGCTGGGTAAGGGAAACTGAGTTATTTCTCTCTGAATGTGGTAGGGGTGGTGATGGTGAGAGGACCAAAAGAGTATAAAGAGTTTATCCTTAGAAATCTCCACCAGTATTAACCCTCAGAAGTAAAATAACCTGCAACAGCCGCTCTGATGTTTTCTTTGCCTTCATGCCAGTTTTCCTGGTCATCCACTCCAACCCCCTTTTTGCCGAGGCCAACCACCACCACGCTGGAGAAGTCCTGTTCCAGAAACACACAGAATCAACCACTCTGTACCTTTAAAGCATTCATTTCCACAGGAAATGGTATCTAAACTCAACTACTGTAGCCTCAGCACATGCGAAATCAGTGTCAAATTTGGTTGTTGGGTTTTCTGAGCCCTACATTTGGCTAAAACTTTGTAACGTGTGTTTGAAAGGTAAAGAGTAAGAATAATCCTGCAAATAATTCTTCTATGTAAGAGTGCCTTAAGTCCCACAAACAAACAAAGAAAGCCTCCGGATTAAGTGATACAAGAGAGGCAGTACTTTCTGACAGCAAGTCACCTCTTTACAATCTTAACTAATACTTATGGCTTAATACTAGGACTTAAAGCAATACATAGACTCCGATGCAAGATTTCCTGCACGGGTAGGTAGTCACAGTCCTTGGCATGCAGCAGGTGCTCACTAAGGGTTTGCCAAACCTTATCTTCATCTCATACCTCATGCAAACCATAAAAGGTTCGGGTTTTGCCTGCCTTCAGCGGAGGTCCAGATCTGAAAGAAATAGTTGTTTAAAATATTAGTTTGCTCTGCTCCTTTGAGAAGTGACATATATGTACCTTTAGCATTATTAAAATACTCTACTGCCAAAAGTTTAAAATTAAAAAATTAAAATTAAAAGGAAATAGTCTGCTGCTTCTGTTAATTTGCTGCACTTATGTATTTATCAAAATATGGAATTTTCTCAGGCCAGGTTTCTTAGATGCAGCATTTCTGAGTCTAGCTCAAAAACTACTTAGCATACTTCCAGGTTAGATTGAATACAAACTTATTTGAAAACAAATATGGAAAGCATGGGATGGATGGATAACATGTGGCCTCAAAGGAGGACCACTGGTGAAGGCTGACCAGAATCATAATTCTTTTTAATATAAGACACCAGCCCCAGCAGCGGGCTGGCTGCAGTGTGCGTGGCGTGGAGGTAGTTTATGGGGGCTTATCTGCAAATAGGATACCAGGCAATTCCCTCACAAACCAGGTGGCCATGCAGGATTATGGCCTGGATATCCTGGTGCTGCTGAGAGTTATCAGTCAGGAAGGCCAGGCTGCTCTGTACTCTAACAGGCTACCTTTTGGGTTAATGAATTAGTCAAGGCCCAGGAAAAGGCTGTCTGCTGGTGAATGACTGCTAATTAAGAGGGTATGCAAATTCTGTTACCTAATGATTAGACAATTAGGCAATTACTATCATTATTAGACTACCTGTATTAGATCCAAGAAATTATCTATAATCCCAGTAAGATGTAGTTGCAGAGGTTTATGTTGACACTTTGATTTCTGCCAAATGTGGCCTGCAGCTCAGGACTTGAAACTCCAGCGTTTCCCACCTTCTCTAGACCCTGGCTAACCCAAGAGAGGTCAGAATCTCAGGCCCACCTAGACTTGCTGACCGCAAACCTGCATTCCAACTGCACCCTCAGGAGATGCGCACGCACCCTCACATTTGAGAAGCCCTAGGAACTCAAGATGTGCAATGAAGGCAGCAGTGCCCTTAGGCGGTTCTGAACTAGTCCAGGGACATGAGGTCCCCCATAAGTGTGGGGGAATTAAAGGAAGAAACAGAGGCTGTGGGAAGGTGAGCCGGAGGGTAGGATGAGGGGTGGGGAGAAACGAATTTCAGCCAGGAGGATGGACAGAGGAAATGTGGTACTTTCCAGACCCTTCTGGGTCAGTCTTGCACAATAAATCTGTGATATGGTTGAGGTGGCCAGATTTCCCAGAACTGCATACCCACTGATACTGAAACACAAAGTACCGAAGTACATTCCAGAGACACAGACTTTCACTTTCACTTTCACCAGCAGTGTCCAGCATGCTTCCAGGAACTTTTATTTACTAATAACAAAGCACAGAAAAATACTGTTTTGTTTTAAGGCATTTTAAAAACTGGCACCCACAGGCGAATACTTACATATTCAAAATTTCTCTCAGCTTTCCAGACACCAGTTTATCAAAAGTCTCTCCTGCACTTGTAAACTGTGGCACATCATTTTCTTTTTCTCTGGTGTAGATTCCTAAAATAAGGCCCTAAGAACAAGCAGAAAAAATGAATATAATCTGGGCCCCCAAATTCCAAAGGAGCAAATAATTCCACCCAAACCGTGTCCCCATCAGGTCAGAGAACAAAACCAAAAAAGCAGGTGCTGGGCAGGCAGTTACACTCACATCCTGTCTAATGTTTCAAATTCCTGCCAAAGCAAGACTAGAATTACTACCTGTCCTGGGTCTTCATGGTCCCTTCCCAAGAAAGGGTTCTTACAATATAAAGGGCTCCCTTTACATTCAAGTAAGAGCAGAAAGGTGTTTTGTTTAAGAAAACAATTCCACCTGAAATCTGGTCAGAAAGGGTTCAGAACATGAGACCCCAGAATCTGACCAATTTGTCACATTGATTACTTTGAGCTACAGGTATTTGGGCAACAGCAAACGTAGGAAGGGCTCTCTGACCTCCCACTTTTCTACCCCAAAGCAGGTCATAAAATGTCCCATGAGAAAGGTGGTATCCCTGTACCAGCAAGAGAACATGGTTATCACTGCAGACTGGGGGTCAACACCAAAATGGACGTGTACAAACCAGACCACTAAAATAACCCTCATCGTCCACTGGTCCTAGTCACTGTGACACAATTTACTGCCCCTCACCCAAGCCCCTTTGTCTTGTAATCTCCCCACAATTTTTTGTTCTCTGTTAAAAGAGGTATATAAGTTTGGGGACCACAAAATAAAGACCTTTTGGGTCTTTATTTTCCTTTTGAAGACTCCATGTCCACTAAAATATCAAATAGAACTTGAATGCTTTTCTCCTGTTAATCTTATGTCTTTTAATTCTTTGGCCCAGCCACAGAACGTAGGAAAGCAGAAGGAAGTTCTTCCTCCCCTGTGCGAATCTCAGGGGTTCTGGAATGCTACCCCAGTCAAGCCCACGGCCAAATCGAAGAACCGGGGCAGCTCCCAGGCCCAGAAGGAGAGACAGGGTGCAGCTTCCCGGAGGGCAGGAGCAGAGCACTCTGCCCAGCACTCAGTGACCGACCCCCGCAGGCCCCAAATAACTGAACTAAGGAAACTCAGAAATCACTATTTGCCTTTGCCCAGCAACTGATGACTTTAAAAGTGTTTTCTGCCTTATGGCAACTTTCTGAGATGGAAAAAAGAAGGCGTAATCTCTCCCCTGACAGGTGAGGAAACCGAAACCCGGTGTGACATACTAGCCTGCGGGCCACTGAGCTCCGCGGGAACCCTGACCCCTTCCCACAAAATCACGCTGGTACCTAGAGGGAACTGTGCCCTTTCTGTCCTTGCCATCGGAGAAAATGGGCTTCCTTGGTGCTGGTCGCCTTTCCAGGTTCTAACTCTCCCAGGACCGCTCTTTCCCGGGACTCCGTGGGACCGAGGACGGAACTGAGGAGACAGGGCACTGATGCCACCTGGGCAGACTATCGCACAGGGTCGGAGAGAGCACGGCAGGCGTCTGGGGCCCCTGCCACCTGACACAACCAGGGCCTGAGCTCCAGCCGCTAAGGACAGCCATCTCCTCCTGGTCCTCGCGTAGCTCCCCATCTTGCGCACCTTCCACCCTCCCACTCCCCTCCCCGGACCCTCCACACCCCAACAGTCATCTCAATCTTTTTGGAGTTCAAGCAGGCGGCGGAGGCTTTTCTTCTGAAGACACTCTCCTTGCAGTTCCACGCAGAGATGGGTCTCTGTGCAAAGCCCCTACCCCCAGAGGCCACGGTCC